GGCCAGCGGCACGTCTAGGGCGGAGTGGCCATCCCTATGCCGAGGGCCAAGCCGTGCCCCACGTGCAGGTCAGGACGGCGCAGGGATGGGGACCCCAGCCAAGCCCCTCTCCAGGCACAGCAGGGTCTTTGCAGCATTAAACAAAGGTCGTGCCAACCCCTCCGCTGCTCCTGCCGCGCATCCGACGGCGCGGGTGGGAAGCTGGTGCTGGCGGAGAGCTGACACCGTCCCCGCGTGAATATTACATGAGGACCCGCGAACCTGAGATGCCGACACGGGCTGCGTGGTGGCACCGAGAGCCCCCCCCAGCTTTGCCAAAGCCCGGGTTTAGCCTGGTTTCCTAAAGAACTGAGATGCAGGAGGGGAGGCTGCCTGCTCCCCTCCCAGTCAGCGCAAGCTGCTGGCCCAGTGTGGCAGCAGGGTCAAGACTGGGTTCCTGCGAGTTTGGGTGTGCAGGACCGAACAGCTTGACTCTGTTCCCAAGTAGGGACAAGCTTCCGAGCAAGCTTAAACCTATATTAGCCACCAGAGTATCCACTCAGCCTCCCACAGCACTTGCCCCTTGGATTTTCTTCTGTCTAGTATGGGATTGGGCAGATGAATTATCTTCAGCTGCGGGCAAAGCACGCATCCTCCGTTTAGTTTGCTGCTCCCAGAAACACTTGGCTTTGTCCTTTAGGGTCTCACCCGTGGGGGTCTCCAGGAGAGGACCATGGAGGGACAGATTTTGAGATGTGGGCAGGGAGGTGGAAGCAATCTCTCTCCTGGCCAGCTTCTAGTTAAAGATACGGTTGCAGATTACTGGTTAATTATTCATGGATAAAAAGGACATTTTAATCATTGCTTTTTACTGGGGAGCCGGGAGCAGGAACAGGGTTTCCACAGCTCATTTCTTTGCAGGAATTATGCCCGTCAGGTGGGTGCTGCTTCCACCACCCCTGTGCTAACAAGGCTTCCATTTCTCCCACCGGCACTGGGGACAGACCCCACTGCCAGCCCCGTGGGGTCATCCTGCGCACACTACCCTCGAGCCCAGGGAAGACCCCAACCCTCAGACCCCTTCCCTGCACAGCCGAACTGGGGAGGGGAGCCAGCAAGGACCAGGTTGCTCGGTGCGGGGAGATCTCTTCCCACCTTTTCTTGAGTCTGCCCTCTCCTTGGCTGCTTGAAGACATTTTTCTCCTTTCCCCACCTCATCTCTGCCTCCTCGCTTTACACCGTTAATTCCGTTAATTGGGAGGGTCCATCAGTAAGATACGGCCATAAACTCATCCTTAAACTGCAGTGCAATAAATATGAGCCCAAAGAGACCTCGCTGATCGGGGAGTGCCCTGCGGTGGCTGCAGGGACTGTCTACTGGACAGCAGGAGAAGAGCCTGCCCTCGCAGGAGACTCGAGTTTAAATTTCAGCAGATCTGCTAAGCCGGAGAGCTGGAGGATGCTGCTGCCGGGAGAGAGCTCAGACACAGCCTGGTCTGGTATCGATGCAAGCGCTGGGGACAAAAGGAAGTCAGGAGCTGAAGAAATTTGTCCAACTGGATGATGTAGTCACCTGACCTGTGGGCACAGGAGCTGTAAAGCTGGTGCTAAGTCCCATTTGCCCAGTCTTATGCTGATGACCTGCACCCAGACCCTCTCCTGCTCTGAGCCCTGGCCAGGCTGTCCATGCCCAAGCTGGGAAACCCCAGCCAGGGCCCATCCAAACCTGATGGGAGCCAGCCCTCTCTCAAGACCTCTCAGTT